GTTACAGACGGTTGGCTATGGGTGGACGGCAGATGGGACGCCTTTTCAGATGAGGAGGCTTGGCTTCAGCTACCTACACGGTCAAGGTAAAAGGCATGTCAGATACACAATTAAAACAAGTTAGGGGCATTGCTGGACATGCTTTGTTTGGTCCAGCACGTGGCAGGTGCAGAACCATGGAGTTTCAACTTTCGCACTGCCCCCGAGCTGATCCTACCTTTGCGGCGGATGAGTACTTTTTGGTGTATTGGCTCAGAGCGATGCACGGACAGTGGGTAAAGCAACGAGCGATGGCCCTGGCCTTTATGCAGGCGCAGAACAACTGTCACACCTGGAGGAGTGTACGAGGGCCAGCAGGTGCAGTGGTGCTCACCCTCAAGCGGCTTGGATGGAAGGCAATGGCGTGGGACTGTTGGCATACCGAGCGAGGGATGAAGTTAGATCTACATGACATTGGCCCTGCGACGCTCAAGAAGATAGTCAATCAGAGTACACAAAGACGCCTGCTATGCGAGGTACCACTTTCCAGAGGTATGGAAGGGCTCACTGGCCCGCCTTTGCTTGAACCTGCCAAGCGTTTAATCACCCAGCTCAGGGCACAGCAGGATTACAAAGGTGCTGGGCTTGTACGTACTTGGTTGGCTGGAGGGTTCTTCTGTCAGGAGCGTTCGCACCAAGTTCGAGCAGTGCATAGCCCCTTGTGTGCAAAGTGTAGTGTGGAGAATGGTACGGATACTCATCGTATCTTTAGGTGTGACTGGCACTCTCTGGAGCGACTCAGTTGGACAGGTGAAGAACGTGCATTGCTACGCTGGGGACGACAAGAACATGGGCAGCGGCATCCTCACACAATGATGACGACAAAAGGATTAATGGAGGACCCCACTTTCAACTCGCCCATGCCGACCAGCGAGCACAGTATTAACTGGCACAAGTGCACTGTTAGTGGGCTCATCAGTGGTGTTGTGTGCACTGATGGCAGCTGTATTTTTCCACACTGTGAAGTTCGAGCCCGAGCTGGATGGTCATTTGTCATGATTGATGAGGCTGGTGTAACTGTTGCGGCGGCTTCGGGACCAGTACCGTATCCGTGGCAGACATCAGGAGCTGGTGAGATCTGGGCGGCGACAAAGGCTTTGCAGCACAAGTCGGCGGGGCGCATTACGATTGTCACTGACTACAAAGATCTCAAGCTTGGGTGGATGCTGGGGTTCCCATACGGGTGCCAAACTGGACATCAGTATATGGAGCTGTGGAAGAGGTGTTGGCGAATTGCACAAGACATCGGAGTTGAAGAGATAGAACTCGAGTGGATTCCCTCGCACATGTCGAGGAGTAAAGCCATTGATCAAGGAATCAATATGACGTACTGGCACGGGAACCGAAGCGCCGACTACTATGCGAGGATGGGGGCAGACGTGCACCCACGCGAGAAGCCCAGTGAGAAGGTCAGGAAGCTGCGCGAGGCCGCTGTCCCGCTCACCTTGAGATGTGTGCTGCGCGTTTTGCGCCTGTGTCAGAAAGGAGGGTGGAGTGATGCGCAGGTGATTGAGAGCAGCAGAGTAGAGCGCAGTTCTTTTCTGGTCCTCTCTGAAGATGGAGGACACTTCATTCATAGGTTTAGGGGACGATGGGTGTGCGGTAGGTGCGGAGATAGTCGTGCTCGGCGGTGTGACCTGGCGGGGCTCCCTTGTGGTGGTGACCCGAAAGGGGTCAGAGAAGCGCACCCGTCCCACAAACTTTGGCGCACTGGCCCAATGATCTGGTGTTCGGAATGTGCTTCGAGGTGTGTCTCGAGGGCTTTTTTGATTTCAAAACCGTGTCTCGGTCGGCCGCCCTTGGGTTCTCCGAGGCACTTCAAGAGGAGGTACCTCATCCAAGGGAAAGGGCCCTGTGGAGAGAAGGTTGGTTGTGGTTTCACCCGACCCGTTCCAATCTTCGCGAGTGTCGATCGCTGCGTTCGGCGTGTTTGAGTATCCTTGTGTGGCTTGGTGCATCGTTCTCGGCACACCTCGTCGTCATCCAGAGTCTCCAGAGCCTCCTCCTCCTCCTCCTCCTCCTCCTCCTCCTCCTCCTCCTCCTCCTCCTCCTCCTCCTCCTCCTTCCCTCCTCACAGCCTTGCCTCTGCCCTGCGCACCAGGTCAACCATGTCGGCACACCCTTCGCGTGTTTCGTGGCCCATAGGGAGCTCCACCGAACGCCCCAGTGGCTGCGCTCGCTGCACCAATTTCGGCGCACTCATCGCACGTTCAGCTGCCCCATAGGGAGCGCCACCGCGACACCCATTTCGGCACACCATTCACACGCTTCGGGGCTGCACACGGGCTCCACTTAGGGCCCCAGTGGCTGCGCTCGCGTGCGCTCGCCGCACACATGTCGGCACACCCCTCACACGTTTCGGGGCCCCGTAGTGCAACTCCGAAGGCCCCAATGACTGCGCTCGCAAGCGCCCCCCGCGCCCATTTCGGCGCACCCCTCACACGTTCCGTGGCCCAATAGGGAACTCCACCGAACGCCACAATGGCTGCGCTCGCACGCGCCCGCCGCACCACTTTCGGTGCACCCCTCAAACAGTTCGTTGCCTCACAGGGAGCTCCACCGAAGGCCCCAATGGCTGCGCTCGCATACGCCCGCCGCACCCATTTCGGCACGCCCCTCATACGCTTTGTGGCCCCATGGGGAGCTCCACCGAACGCCACAATGGCTGCGCTCGCATGCCCCCGCCGCACGCGTTTCGGCACACCCCTCATACAGTTCGTGGCCCCGTGGTGGGCTCCACCGAAGGCCCAAGTAACTGCGCTTGCAGCGCAAAGCCGCACTCGTGTCGGCACACCCCTCACACGTTTCGTTGCCCCATAGGGAGCTCCACCGAAGGCCCCAGTAGCTGCCCTCCCACCGAAAATCCCCAGTGCTGCAGCCGCATGCGCCTGGCGTGCACATGTCGGCAAACCCTTCACGCGCTTTGTGGCCCCATAGGGAGCTCCACCGAAAGCCACAATGGCTGCGCTCGCATGCGCCAGCCGCACCCATGTCGGCACACCCCGCATACAGTTCGTGGTCCCATAGAGGGCTCCACCGAAGGTCCCAATGGCTGCGCTCGCATGCGCCCCCCGCACCAATTTCGGCACACCCCTCACACGTTCCGTGGCCCAACAGGGAGCTCCGCCGAACGCCCCAGTGGCTGTGCTCGCATGCGCCCGCCGCGCCCACTTCGGCACACCACTCACCCTTTTCGTGACCCCATCGGAAGCTACACAGAAGGCCCAAGTGGCGTTTACATGCGCCCGCCGTACCTATTTCGGCACACTCCTCATACGGTTCGTGGTCCCATAGAGAGCTCCACCGAAGGCCCCAGTGACTGCGCTCGCACGCGCCCGCCGCACCATGTCGGCACACCCCTCGCACGTTTCGGGGCCCCATAGGGATGTCCACCGAAGGCCCCAGTGGCTGCGCTCGCATACGCCCGCCGCACCCATTTCGGCACGCCCCTCACACGTTCCGTGGCCCCATAGGGAGCTCCACCGAACGCCACCGTGTCTGCGCTCGCATACGCCCGCCGCACACATTTCGGCCCACCCCTCATACGGTTCGTGGCCCCGTAGTGGGCTCCACCGAAGGCCCAAATGACAGCGCTCGCATGCGCCTGCCGCACTCATTTCAACACACCCCTCACACGTTTCGTTGCACCCTAGGGAGCTCCACCGAAGGCCCCAATGGCTGCGCTCGCATGCGCCCGCCGCGCCCATTTCGGCGCACCCCTCACACGTTCTGGGGCCGCATGCGCCCGCCGTGCACATGTCGGCAAACCCCTCACACGCTGTGTGGCCCCATAGGGAGCTCCACCGAAGGCCCCAAGGCTGCGTCCACATGCGCCCGCCGCACCCATTTCGGTACACCCCTCCTACGGTTCGTTGTCCCAGGCCCCGGTAGATGCCCTCGCACGCGCCCGCCGCACCCATTTCGGCACACCACTCACACTTTTCGTGGCCACATCGGGAGCTCCACCGAAGGTCCCAGTGGCGGTGTTCGCATGCGCCCGTCGTGCACATTTCGGCACAAACCTCGCACGCTCCGGGGCTCCATAGGGAGCTCCACCGAAGGCCCAAGTGACTGCGCTCGCACGCGCCCGCCTCACCAATTTCGGTGCACCCCTCGCACGTTAGGCCCCAATGGCTGCGCTCGCATGCGCCCCCCGCACCAATTTCGGCACACCCCTCACACGTTCCGTAGCCCAATAGGGAGCTCCACCGAAGGCCCCAGTGGCTGCTCTCGCATTCGTCCGCCCCGATAATTTTCGCTTTACTACGCACACGTTTCGCGGTCCCAGAGGGAGCGCCACCGAATGCTCCAGTGGCTGCGTTGGCACGCGGGCACGCGCTCACCGCGCCCATGTCGGTACATCCCTCACACGTTCCGCGGCTCCGTAGGGAGCTCCACCCTGGCCCTCCGAGCGCCCCGACCTCGGGGCCTCGTTGGGCGCGAATGAACCGGGGCGCGGTACACGAGGCGGGGGGGAGAAGGGTGCCCTTTTCGGGCCCTGAAAGGCCCCCTTCTGGGCCCTAAAGCGCCCCTTTTCGGCAGCCCTCGCCGCCCCCCTATTTAGAAGGGGCCCTGGGACCTGGGACCTGGGACACGCAAATAAATAGACACAAATCCCAGGATTGCCTATATTTTTCAATACTTTTTGGGTTTTCGTCTTCCCCTCCACTTCCCATATTTTCCTGGGGGTCGACGATTCATTGTGTCGGTGTTTTTTCCCCTCCTAAATTTGTCGCCCCCCCATTACGCGTCCTCCGAGCCTCGAGGCGGACAGCAGAGGCCTCCGGTGGCGAGGGGCTCCCCCCAGGAGCCCCCCCCCCCAGGGCAGGAAAACGCACCGCATGGCGGGGCCCGGCGAGGCTCCCCACGGAGCATCCGGATCGAACTCCTGCGTGCCGTCGGACGCCGCCGAAGGCCGCCGATGGCCGGCGATGGCCGCCGCTGGCCGGGCCCGAAGGCTC